CCTTAGGTGTATGTGGCTGGCGCCTTAGCCGCTTGAGCCACAGGCGCCGAGCCCAGGTTTTCTTAAGAACTGTTGATGATAATGTCCCTACTTGCAGGGCACAGTGGTTCACGTCTGTAATCCCAGCACTTGGAAGGCTGAGGTGGGAGGACTATTTGAGCTCACAGGTTTGAGACCAGCCTGAGCCAGAGGGAGACCCCTCCTCTAAAAAAATAGCTGGATGTCATGGTGGATGCCTGTAGTCCCAGCTACTTAGAAAGCTGAGGCAAGAGAACTGCTTGAGCCCAAGAGTTTGAGGTTGCTGTGAGCTATGATGCCACAGCACTCTACTGAGGGTGACCAAGTGAGACTCTGTCTCAAAAAAAAAAGTTTAAAATAATAATAATAATAATAATGTTCCTACTCATGTCCTTCTCCCAGGGATTACAAATCTATAAGCTTTTAACAATGTATCTGGTGCACAAATTAGATAGTCAATGAATCTTTGCTGAGATTACAAGGAATAGGAGATCTATGAGGGGTTCCACGCCCGTAGCTCAGTGGTTAGGGAGCTGGCCACATACACCAGGGCTGGCCCAGTCCAGACTGCTAAAACAACAATGACAACTACAACAAAAAAATAGCTGGGCATTTTGGCAGGCGCCTGTAGTCCCAGCTACCTGAGAGGCTGAGGCAAGAAAATCACTTAAACCAAAGAATTTGAGGTTGCTGTGAGCTGTGACACCATGGCACCCTACCAAGGGTGACATAATGAAACTCTGTCTCAAAAAAAAGAGATCTATGAAGGCAGTCCTTTTCATCACGTGTAGAAATATGCTAAGGAGGCTATGTCCCTCCTTCTCCATGTCTACGGTAGCATTTTGGTTTTGCAGTACTTAGAGAAACTTTGCTTTACCTGAGTTGCTAACAAATGTAATAATCAACAACTAAATACCCTAATGGATTAAATACTGAATTAGGCTTACTTAGCTTAAGTAAATTAGATCCTCTCATGATATCAAAAGAAAAAGCCCACTTTGGTTTGTATGTCTGTCTAGCCAAAAAGGGCATAACAGAATTGCTTCATGGTTTGTGAGTAGTTGCTAACAGTGCTCCCTTGAGAATGCACATGTAAATAAGACAATATCTAGAATGACTGGTGAGAGGTTCCAGGCCACCCAAATTGGCTAAGAAAAGTCTGACTAAATGTCTTATTTGAGCTTTGGAAATGTGTCCTTAATCATGTCTGGGTTCACAAGGGAAGTTGATTTTTTTTTTTTTTAAAGACAGAGTCTCGCTCTGCCACCCTGGCTAGAATGCCACAGCATCATTATAGCCCACTGCAACCTCAAACTCCTAGGCTCAAGTGATCCTCCTGCCTCAGCCTTCTGAATAGCTGGGACTACAGGCGCCTGCCACAATGCCCAGCTAATTTTTCTATTTTTATTTTATTTTATTTATTTTATTATTATTTTTAGACAGAGTCTCATTTTGTTGCTCTCAGTAGAGTGCTGTGGTATCGCAGCTCACAGGTGCCTGCCACAATGCCTGGCTATATTTTTTTTAGTTTTAGAGACAGGGTCTCTTGCTCAGGCTGGTCTCGAACTCCTGAGCTCAAGGGATCCTCCTACCTTGGCCTCCCAGAGTGCTAGGATTACAGGCATGAGCTGCAGCCCTTAGCTGGGAAGTTGAATTTATGAACTGACAATCTGTCTCCTGGAGGAAAACTGACACCCAGTGGAAGGAAGCAGCCAGACTAGATCGGCTTTTTTTGCCTTCTTTTGTTCAGCCCTTTGCTGTGGGTAGGGCAAAATGTCAAAAGTGTCTTTTGTCTGTAAATCTTCCAAAGTCTTAATAAATAGAAAGCAAGAAGGGAATAGACCGAAAAAAGCTACAACAAAACCTCAACACACCTACCCTCAAAAACCACAGAACACAATCTTGTTATTAAAAACAGAGTGGAGGGCACAATAGAAACTTGGGAGCTTTTAGTGTTCCCTTTTCCTGATTAAATGCCGATCATATAAGTGTTCTTAATGGGAGAAGGGGAGTACAGCTCCCAGTACATCTGGTCCCTGGTATTAATCTTAACTGTCTGGTGATATTAAGACACATGGCTTTGGGACAGCAAATACCTGCAATGATGACTGAGTCAGTTCGAGCTGGGCCAAATTTCAATGTCATCTCATGCTTGTGTTTGTGAACTGCCAGGTGGTCCTCATTTGTAAATCTCTGAAATGAAAACGAAATGGAGATGTGAGAAAAAAACCAAAACCCCGATTCAGGGCCCTGTTAAATGTCCTATCAAATATCCTGCAATGAGGTTGGTCCCTGGAAAGAAGGAAGGAAAGAAAAAAGGAATTGGAAGAGATAGAAAAAGAGAAGAAATGGAGAAGAAAAAGGTGATAGAAGGCAGGGAGGAGAGAAGGGTAAGATCACAGCACCAAATGCTCTGAAATATCAGGTCCAAACAAGAGAGGTGGACAGATTGTCAGGAAGTGTGGTCTAGGCAGGAGGCTCCAAATAAAAAGAAAAAAACATTAGGGCGAACTCACAGTGAATGAGGGGAAAACAATTTTTAATAATAATAATAAAGAGAGAAAAGAAAGGCTGGGCATTCATTGGTCATCACAAAGTAGGAAATTCAGAATGAACCTCTCCATGGTGGGGCTGAACTGGACTATTTTATGAGGGGGCTAACAGGGAGATAAATTATGCAGGATTAGGAGAACCATTTAACTTCCTGGCCCCTGCAGTGCTACAGCAGGCGCCTGCGCGGCTATTTGGCTCATAGTTTTAATGAGCCAGGATGGAGCTATAGAGGACAGAGGCCCAATGGCCTGCAATAATGGCACATACCAGCCCCATCGGCCAAATGTTGTTTCCCCTCATCAGGCAGCTCGCCTGGGCTCCACCAGCCATAAAGGGGCCGGTCCAATGCTGCTGGCTGTATAATGGTAGAATAAAAATGTAAGCAAAAAATATTTTTTAAGGGTAGAGAAGAGCCTGTAGGCAGGATGAGGGAAGAGAAAAGGAGATGGGACAGAAATTTTATTTGTTTAAGGGTTGTGGTTAAAGGACAATGAAGAGGAGTAGGTTTAGTCTACTCTAGTTTATGACTAAGTAAGATAGGGCTACTGGATGATAATTTATGCTCCCACCCCTTCTTTAAAAGGGGGAGGTGAAAGGAACAGATGAACAGCAGTAATTCAAAAGAATAATACTCTCAAAAGTCCCTTTGAGGCTGCTGGCTATGTTCCTTCATTAAAACATGCCTACAACACTGTAATAGCCGGGATGCTGCAGTTTTCCACAGTTCTAAAACAGCAAGGCTCTGAAACATGGCTCTATTTGTATTTTTGCGTCTAAAAATAGTGATTGCTTTGTCCCCTTTTTACTTTCTTTACTTCCCATCAAATACTACACCATTACCCTTCTTTTCCACAGCTCATTTTCTTTCTTTTTTTTTTTTTTTTTTTGAGACAGAGCCTCAAGCTATCCCCCTGGGTAAAGTGCTGTGGCTTCACAACTCACAGCAACCTCCAACTCCTGGGCTCAAGTGAGTCTTCTGCCTCCGCCTCCCAAGTAGCTGGGACCACAGGCGCCCGCCACAACGCCCGGCTATTTTTTGGTTGCAGCCATCATTGTTGTTTGGCAGGTCTGGGCTGGATTCGAACCCACCACCTTAGGTGTATGTGGCTGGCGCCTTAGCCACTTGAGCCACAGGCGCCGAGCCTTTTTTTTTTTTTTTTTTTGAGATAAAGTCTTACTATGTTGCCCTTAGTAGAATGCTGTAGCATCACAGCTCACAACAACCTCAAACTCTTAGGTTTAAGCGATTCTGCCTCAGCCTTCTAAGTAGCAGGGAACACAGGTGTCCACCACAATGCTCAGCTATTTTTTTGTTGCAGTTGTCATTGTTATTTAGCTGGCCTGGGTGGGGTTCAAACCCACCAGCCCTAGTGTATCTGGCTGGCACCCTAACCACTGAGCAATGGGCACCAAGCCTCCACAGCTCTTCTTTACTGCAACCCAAATACATTGGAGGTAGCCTACCTAGTTGAGCTCCTACCTAGTCAGGAATACAACCTTTTCTTTTTTTTTTTTTGAAACAGTCTCACTTTATTGCCCTTGGTAAAGTGTTGTGGCATCATAGTTCACAGCAACCTCAAACTCTTGGGCTCATGCAATTCTCTTGCCTTAGCCTTCCAAGTAGCTGCGACTACAAGCCCACCTCAGCGCCTGGCTACTTTTAGAGATGAGGTCTTACTCTGGCTCAGGCTGGTCTGTCTTGAACCTGTGAGCTCAGGCAATCCACCTACCTTGGCCTCCCAGGGTGTTAGAATTACCGGTATAAGCCACTGCTCCTGGCCCTAGGAAAGCAATAGTGAACTGATTCTGCTATTTTATTTCAGCAGAAAGTAGCTTTTCTCCGAATTCACAACTAAAGCCAGTTTAAGGCAAGGCATACAGTCCTGAAGGGTAGTAGGAATTTTCAGTTAAAAGTATGAAGAACCTGGCTCAGCGCCAGCCACATACACCTAAGGTGGCGGGTTTGAATCCAGCCCAGGCCCGGACAATAACGGCTGCAACCAAAAAATAGCCAGGTGTTGTGGCGGGTGCCTGTGGTCCCAGCTACTTGGGAGGCTGAGGCAGGAGACTCGCTTGAGCCTAAGAGTTAGAGGTTGCTGTGAGCTGTGATGCCACAGCACTCTACCCAGGGGGACAGCTTGAGGCTCTGTCTCAAAACAAAAAAAAAGTATGAAGAACCAAGAAATAAAAAAGTCAGAAACTCTGCCTCAGTGGTTTCCAATGGGTCTAAGACAAAACTAAATAAAGTGCGGGCAAATTTAGCACTCTCTATTGTTGGCAAACCCTCGGCACTAACTTTTTCAGTCCCCTATTTTCTCCTTAAGGAAAAAAGTGGGGCGGTGATGGGAAAAATCTGTCAACCAGGGATATGGTATTTATAAGTTAAACAAGTCACTGTAGAGGGTCTGGGATTGCTAGCTTTTCAGTAAAAGGAAATAAGCAGAACCTAGTCTACAATGGAGAAAAAACCTCATTTTAAGGGGATATCCAGAGTAGTAGATTAAGCAAAGTTGTTAAGTTTCCAAATGTATTGGTAATGTTGTAACAATCTTTTCCAAAAACACATTTATAGATAAAGGAAATTTCGTGTACTTAGCTTGAAAACTTTTCTACAATGTTTTAAAATCCAAAAGAATGATTTCTAAGCAAAAAGTCCTCTTTTATCTGAAATCTAGTTTGTTTTGGATGAGTTGGGAAAAGATTTTAAATCTCTACCAGGTTTAGTTCTGCTTAAGACTGCTCAGTATTTTAAAAGGCAACTCTCCCTTCTGCTGTTACACTGCTTTATAGTCCTGACTTGTCTTATTCGTTCTCTAGTTCTTATTCCTCTTTGCTGGTTACCTGCCATCCCAGACCCCTCCATGCTGCCTTTGAGCTATTTATTTTTCCAAATCAAAAGCTGAGACCAGAGGAGAACTGAAGGCAGCTGAAAGGATTTCCCACTCACTAGCATCTCAAAGGGTTTGATAAATGCAAACACTGGAAAAAGTTATGTCTTTATTTTCATTAAGCTGTTAACATATTTAGCAGTCCTAATTCATAATAGAAATCACACACATTTTCTTTTCTTTTCTTTTTTTTTTTGAGACAGAGTCTCAAGCTGTCACCCTGGGTAGAGTGCCATGATGTCACAGCTCACAGCAACCTCAAACTCTTGGGCTTAAGCAATTCTCTTGCCACAGCTTCCCAAGTAGCTGGGACTACAGGTGCCCGCCACAATGTCCGGTTATTTTTGTTGTTGTTGCAGTTGTCATTGTTGTTTAGATGGCCTGGGCTGGGTTCAAACTCCCCAGCTTGAATACATGTGGCTAGGGCCATAATCACTGAGCTATGGGTGCTGAGCCATCACACACATATTCATATTATATTATAGGTATCACAAAGTATCTCAAGATGTTCTTTTCTTTCTTCTTTTTTTTTTTTTTTTGTAGAGACAGAGTCTCACTTTATTGCCCTCAGTAGAGTGCCTTGGTGTTGCAGCTCAAAGCAACCTCCAACTCCTGGGCTTAGGCAATTCTCTTGCCTCAGCCTCTCAAGTAGCTGGGACTATAGGCGCCTACCACAACAAGATGTGCTTTATACTCTACAGTTGCTTGGCTAAAAAGATGTTCTTTATACTCATCACTACTTTGAAATTATGGTAGCTCCAGATCCACCACTAGAACTTATTTTATTTATTTATTTATTTATTGAGATAGAGTTTCAAGCTGTCGCCCTGGGTAGAGTGCTATGGCATCAACAGCTCACAGCAACCTCAAACCCTTGGGCTTAAGCGATTCTCTTGCCTCAGCCTCCCAAGTAGCTAGGACTACAGGCACCAGCTCCAATGCCCAGCTATTTTTTGGTTGTAGTTGTCATTGTTTGGCAGGTCCAGTGTATATGGCTGGTGCCTTAGCTGCTTGAGCTATAGGCACCGAGCCCTGGCTATTTTTTTGTTATGGTTGCCATTCTTGTTTAGCTGGCCCGGGCCGGGTTCAAACCCACCAGCCTCAGTGTATGTGACCAGCACCCTACCCACTGAGCTATGGGCACCGCCATATTTACTTATTTTTTTTAAAGATAGGTTCTTGCTGTCACCAAGACTGGAGTACAGTGGTGCGATCATAGTTGTTTGACAGGCCCGGGCTGGATTCGAACCCACCAGCTCTGGTGTATGTGGCTGGCACCTTAGCTGCTTGAGCTATAGGCACTGAGCCAATAATGGTTATTTTCAATAAATGTGTTGATACATCTTGCCATCTCCAAGGCAGTAGAGGGCTTAGTATAAAACCAGTATAGTGGGCGGTGCCTGTTGCTCAAAGGAGTAGGGTGCCAGCCCCATATGCCAGAGGTGGTGGGTTCAAACCTAGCCCTGGCTAAAAACTGCAAATAAATAAATAAATAAATAATAAAAACCAGTATAGTTTTTCTCCACTCATTTATGCCAAGACAAACTGGTACAAGTATCTCATTTAGAGACCAAGATCATCTGGATGTGCACTATCCTATATGGTAGCCACTACCTGTGCAAAGATACTGAGCACTTGCAATATGGCTGGTCTGAATTGGCTAGACTGAATTGAAATGTACTGAAAATCAAAATACAGATTGGAGCGGCCAGGTGCAGTGATTCACGCCTGTAATCCTTGCACTCTGGGAGG